AGCCAGTCACAATAATTTATTATGTTTATTCTTTTTAAATGATTTTTCTTTACTTTTACATATATCAGTAATAGCCCTTAATTATATTTTCCAGGAGTTTATAGGAAGAACAAGGAATTAAAATGTCAAGTTTTACATAAATGGTGACTAACTAGAGGAAGTAGATGAAATTGTGTAATTTGATAGAATAGGACAAGGGAGAAATTTTAGTGGGCTATTGTGGATAGAAGGGATGTGGGTGGTCTGCAGCCTTTCACGAAGAACAAATGTTTTGCCAAAAGAATTAAAAACGGCTGTGTATAAGAGTCTGCTTCTGTCCATTATACAGAGAATTGGGTCTGAAACATAAAATGTAATGGAGTTACGATAAATAGAAAGTATATGGTGAAAAACAAGAATTGATCATGAAATACAGGTGATGAATGAACGTGGATGAGTACACAAGTGACTGGTGTGAAAGCAGTAGATTGAAGTATGGGGGGAGGGAGGAGGGCTAGTCAGACAGGAAGAACAAATGAGGATGGGATTGTATAGCATACAGCAGGGGTGAGGAATGATGGACCTCATGACTTGTGGACTTCAACTCCTAAAATTCCTGAGCCAGCATTGAAGGAAGGAAAGAAGAATTGATGGGTTGAGAGGAAGGAAAAAACCAAGGAAATCTTGGTTGGATGGAATTAATGAAATCCTCAAAAAGAATGAGGTAAGAAGGGTGGCTTGCAAAAATGGAAAGATACTGGAGGTATGGAGAGGTTTAGGGCGGTCTTTCTCAACCTCAGCAACTTTAAGATGTGTAGACTCCAACTCCCAGAATTCCCCAGTTCACAGATCTTAAAATTGTGAAGGTTGAGAAACACTGATATAGGGAACAGTATTGGTGTAAAGTAATAGGTTTCTTTTCTCCTACTTTTCTAGGTAGTTCTTGACATATAACCATCATAGAGCCTGCATATTAAAGTCATAAGTCTGCAATGATACCAAAACAGTTCAGTCAAATGATTGACCCAATATTGTGACCTTTTTATGGCAGTTGTTAAGCGAATCAGTGTGGTTATTATGCATATCCTTGGTCATTAAGAGAACCAATGGTTTGGTATGGGCGCAGTTTTGCCAAAAACCAGAAGTAAGTACCAGTTTTCAAAAAAACTGTTGTAAAATGCAGCCATGTGACTGCGGGAGGGTGCAAATGCTTGTAAATATTTCCGTGTTGCCAAGCCCCTGAAATTCTGTCACGGGACTACAGAGGGGGCCATCAGAACTTCAAATCTGGGTCATAAATCTCTTTTTTAAAGATTGGTAGTAACTTTGAACAGTTGCCAAGCAACTGTCATAAGTCGAGGACTACCTGTATTTTATTTGCCTTATTAATTCTGACTCCTTGTCTATGCTTCGCATACACCTGCTTACCCTAAACGGGAAGAATGTGATTAAGTAAATACATATGAAAGCCACAACAAAATAAAAGCAGTGCATTACATTCCAGTTGTAACAGAATAACAGAGTTGGAAGGGATCTTGGAGGTCTTCTAGTCCAACTCCCTGCTCAAGCAGGAGACCCTATACCAGTGATGGCGAAACTTTTAGAGACTGAATGCCCCCAAACCGCCCCCCGTCCCCGCTCCGCTGTGCTCACTGGGCCACCCACCACCTCCACAGCCCACCACAGATCACCCAGGCAGCCCAGCACTGCCATGGTGGCCACGCCCTCTGCCCATGCCCTGCAGCAGCATCTGCGCGCGACGGGGCGCAAGGGCGGAATCTTGTCCCCGCTGCCTGGCTACCATGTCCTTGGCTGCACTGCTTCACGTGGTCCATGCCCGGGGACAACTCTCGGGGGGCTGCTGGTGAGAAGGGGGCCATGGGAGGAGGCGGGGCTGGGGCGACAGTGCGTGTGCCCACAGAGAGGACTCCAAGTGCCGCCTCTGGCTTGCGTGCCATAGGTTTGCCACCACTGCCCTATACAGTTCTGGGCAAATGGCTCTCCAGTTACTTCTTAAAAACCTCCAGTGATGGAACATCCACAACTTCTGAAGGAAGCCATTCGACTGATTGTTTTCACTGTCATGAAATTTCTGCTTAGTTGTAGGTTGGCTTTCTCTTTAATGATCTTCTATCAGTTACTTCTTGTCTTGCCTTCTGATGTTTTGGAGAAAAGGTTGAACCCCTCTTCTTTGTGGCATCCTCTTAGATATTGGAACATGCCATCATGTCACCCCAGTCCTTCTTTTCATTAAACTAGACATAACCAATTCCAGCAACCATTCTTCATATGTTTTAGCCTCCAGTCCCTTAATCTTTTGTTAAATATTTCTGTCTGCAACGAAAAAGGGCAATACTGTAAAGTTGATTGCAAATTACTTTGGAGAGAATTTTCTTACACTCACTCCCTCTGAGAAGACATTCTTTGACAGACACATTCACATCTTATGCGTTAGTAAAAGAGTTTTTTCAAGAGTCCATCAACTGAAGATTTTAAAGGATAGATAGATGTGTTTCTCTCTCTCTCTCTCTCTCTCTCTGTGTGTGTGTGTGTGTATGTGTGTGTGAAAGAGAGAGAGAGAGAGAGAGAATCAAACCATCCTGCTTTTAAATTGCATCTAAGACATCTTTTCAGTATTACTGCACAGGGATCGTTGCTTTTCATACTCTTTCAGAAGCAATTTCAGACTTCTCAGAAGTATGATATGTCCATTCACAATCAATGTGGCTTGATGAAAGGTATATTAGAGGTTACTATAAGACAGTGAAAGACATTGATTCTCACTACATAGTTATTTATGAGTTGTCAGGAGATGAGATTTCTTCTTTCCCTTAATTTTGTGGCTAAAGACGTGTTCTTGTGACAAGACTGGTGGACTTGAATGTTAATGAAAGAGAAGGCCCTTAACTGTTGCCCATGGTCGGTTGTCTTCTGTCTGATTTCTAAGTTTTTAAGACCAGGTGTCACTTTCATAAACATAATTATTTCACAATTATTATCAGAAAGAGGAAGGTCAATAGAAACCCAGTTAACAATTTGCTGTCACATTCCTGAATTAGGGCTACAGCAGGTGTGTCTAACCTTGGCAATTTTAAGGCTTGTGGACTTCAACTCGCAGAATTCTCTAGCCAGCCATGCTAGGGAGTTGAAATTCTGGGACCTGAAATTCACAAATCTTAAATTTGCCAAGGTTGGACACCTCCATAATAAAGGAAAGTGAGCAAGGATGTCTGCCTTCCTCTTTTCTTTTCACTGCTTCCTAATTTTCTCATCTTCTGTGACCCATTCCACTAGCGTAATTTTGCAATAAATTGCTTTGAAAATAATCTAAATGGCAGTAGTCACCTTTCACATTTACTTAACGTTTGTCTTTTTTTCCAATAGTTGTTGTCCTTCCATCAAAATATGAACATACCCCGCAGCCATGATTTGTCCTCTGGGAGTATCTGGTTACACATTTGACAAGGACTTTCTTAAGGTTGGCTGATATTGACATGAGGACATCATGGATGCTTTTCCCTGGGGTAGGAAGAGGAGTTAAATGCTGCTGCTGTTGCTTCTATAACTAAGAGAGCCAGTTTGGTCTAGAGTGGTTAAGTCACCAGGCTATAAAGCAAGAAACCATGAGTTCAAGTCCTGCCTTAGCCATGAAAGCCAGCTGGGTGATCTTGGTCCAGTCACTCTCTCTCAGTTCAGCTCACCTCACAGGGTTGTTTTTGCCGGTAAAATAGGAGGAGGAGGAAGGAGGATGAGATGCGTTTGTCGCCTTAAATTATTTGTAAAAATAATAAAGGCGGGATATAAATAAATAAAAATATTAAGCTCATTGGGAACTCGACTAGTAATAATCAAAGGGCTCTCTTTCCTCCTTAAAAGAGGAAAAAGATGCACATTAAATAATTCAGAATAATAACTCTTTGATACTGATTCTGTGTTCACAAACAAATTCACCAACACATTTCAGACAGCTTGATCATAATCTGTGAGATAGATTGCGTGAAGAGCGATTGGCTTACAAACATGCTGGCTGGGGAATTCTGGGAGTTGAAGTCCGTCACTTTAAGTTCAAGTTCTTAAGATTGAGAAACACTGTCCTAGAGTTACCCAAGGAGTCCCTGACAGAATGGTGATGACCCTGGATTTCTGTCAGATCCCCAAAGAAATGTATTACTCTTCTTTCTATCCTATACATGCTTCTATAGCCATTTTGGGGGGCCTGCCATTCTGTTGGGAGGGGGGATGCTTTGCATTGCCTTGCCACGTTGCTCCTCCCCTAGGGGAAGGAATGCAGCCGAATAACATCATCCTTATCTGACCCACGGTTTGCGCTTGGAGCCAGAGGGCAATGAAATCGAGAGAGACCTTGAAGAGCACGCCCAGAGGAGCCAGTTACCAAAACAAATCTGTGGATTGGCTGAGATTCAAATGGACATTGGGACTCTGGGGAGAGGAGTAATGAATATGGCTTTTGACATACTGTGTGCGTGGGATTTTTCCTCAGACCTCGCTTTGATTCCTTGCTATCACTAGCTCCTAATAAAAGTTCCTTTTGAGACAATGCCTGTTTCATGAGCTCTGCTTTCTTGGGAACCTAATTGAGGCAGGTCCTTAACAATTTCCTTGGTCCAAGACCTGGCCCTCATCTTAAACCACTCCTGAATGGCATGGCTTTTCAAAGAAGACTCTTGCAGGACAACTCATTCTCAGGAAAGATACTTTTTTTTTTTCCAGAAGAGGACCACCTAGGATGTCAAATGGAATCCATGGGATGTATGAAAGTGCTATTATGAAATCCAAACTGAAAGCTACTCTGTTGAAGCTCTTTCTGCTTGCTTGATCTAGGATTATTGCCTAGGTGTGAAGGACAGATGGAAGCTTGAGGGATTTACTTTGGGAGCTAGCTTTTAATCCAGTGTCAGTGATTTTCAGTATAATCAAATTTCTTGAACTGGCTTCCTTAGCAGCCAGTGATTTTGTGCATTATCTCTCTTTCTCTCTCTCTCTCTCTCTCTCTGCAGCAGAACTCAACATCAATTCAGAGACACCGAGGTACCGACTTCATTCAGGAGAACCTCCTGAATGTGTCCTGGTTTCTGAGACTGGTTGACCACTTATGGTTAGGGGCTGAGCTCCAGCATTATTGACCACCCTCAGTGTCTGGACCATCCATTCCTTCCAAGTTATTCCTAGCCATTCTGGAGAGGAATGATTCCTTCTCCTGTGGAGACCCCATCTCTTGGTCATCACGGCAGTCTTTGCCTGCTTCCTTGGGGCACCCTGGCCTCTCCTGGCAGTCAGATCTTCCTCCCAACCTCCTCAGTCTTTGTGGATGTGGAGTTCCAAAGGTGGAAGAAATAAGTCCTTCGACTTGCTTCAGGTGAATCTTTCCTTGTCTCGGGGACCCAATGCAGGGACAATTCCCATGTCTGTCTCCTGAGATGCCAGGCCCATGGGCAAAATGGAAGCAGCCAATGTCAAGTCATTCTTCTGGGAGACCTTCCCACCCATGCCTACCTGTCGGGTCTATTGCAGCCCAACCTATCAGGATGGACATCTCTTTGTGGTGGGGGGGTGCAGCCAGCAGGGTCAGCCATTGGACACCCTGGAAATGTTGGACGTGGTTTCCCACAAGTGGACAGTGTTACCTTCTATGCCCACTCCACGGGCAGGGGCAGCGGCCGTGATGCTTGGCAAAGAAGTGTTGGTGATTGGTGGAGTTGACTCCACACAGCGACCCCTGGCCTCCGTCGAAGTCTACCACACAGATGAAGACAGGTGGGAGAAGAAAGCAGACCTGGCTCAGGCTTCAATGGGCATTTCAGCCCTTGAGAAAGGTAGGTGGCCAAATTCCTTCATTTTGGGGGATTGATAGTGAGCTAGAGAAGGGACGGTACAAGGCAGTCCTTGACTAACGATCACAACTGCAGCCAAAACTTGTGTGGCTAAGTGAGACATTTGTTAAGTGAGTTTTGCCCCATTTTATGACATTTCTTGTTACAGTTGTTAAGTGAATCACTGCAGCTGATAACGTTAGTAACACAGTTGTTCAATGAATCTGGCTTCCCCATTGATTTTGCTTGTCCGAAGGTCACAAAAGGGGGTCCTGTGACCTTGGGACACAGCAACGGTCATAACCATGAACCAGTTGCCAAGGGTCTGAATTTTGATGGCATGATCATGGGGATGTTACAAGGTCATAAGTGTGAAAAATGGTCATAAGTCTGTTTTTTCAACGCCATTATAACTTTGAACGGTCACTGAATGAACCGTTGTAAGTCGAGGACCACCTGTACAGTAGTTGCTTTGACTGGCTCCAGACATTGGGGAAACCAGTTGTTCTACCTTTTTAAGGTGAAGTTTTAGCCAGGCATATCCCTTTACGGACATCCCATTCTGTTCCACATTGACAATTTTCCTGCCCACTTGAATGCCCATTTTTCCTGAGCTGATTTTGCTGTTCATCATTTCTGCAAAACGAGTACCGTCCTCCCCAATCCTGTTCATAATCTTGTTCTTATGTAGTGCTTGTAAGGACCCACCTCAGCTAACCCCCAAGAAAGCAGAACTCTGGAAACAGGCATTGTCTCAAAAGGGAACTTTTATTAGGGGTTAGTGACAGTAGGGAAGTCAGGGCAAGATCTGAGGAAAATTCTGCTTAAACAGTATAATTCAGCCAGGGGTAGGCAACCTTGGCTCTTTTATGACTCATGGACTTCAACTCCCAGAATTCCTGAGCCAGCATGGCTCAGCTTGGAAACCTCTCCCTTTCCCCTCAGCATGGCTGGCTCAGGAATTCTGGGAGTTGAAGTCCACGAGTCATAAAAGAGCCAACTATACCCCTGTATAGTTAAACCAGCAATATTCCTCCTCCCACCAGAATCATAATGTCCATTTGAAATCCAGCCAATCCACAGGTGGCACAATGTTTGGGTAACTGGCACAGCTGGCGCACATCTCAAGGTCTTCTCCAGTTTCATTTCTCTACAACCATCTCTCTGATAAGGGAGACACACATTCCTTTCTCAAGTGGATGGAGGCGGGAGAGGAAAAATAGAAAGCGAAGTTATCCCAAGCGGAAGCAATTATCTCCCCTACCCCCAGCAGAATGGCAGGCCCCAAAACAAGAGCACAAGAATATATATGCAAGAAAGACAATAAGGATTTGGGGACCTGACAGTGGCTGGAGCTGAAGAGCCACTGTAGGAGAATATAAGCTAGCCTTGATGGGTGCCCATGGGTTTTCTTGAAAGCGTCACGAAAAGGAGGCTAGGAAGAAGTGGGCACAGTGGAACAGCATGTCACAGTAAAAGAAAAAACTCTTTTTAAAACTCAAGCTACCATTTTAAAATGATTTTTCCCTCCTTTTTCATTGCTTTCTTCCTTACCTGAACCCCTGTAATTTTTAATTCAAATTTGGTGGTAGCTGAGAAGTAAGCTAGGGTGGTAGCATAAAAAGAAGTTGGAGAGCTTCAGTGCTGGTTAGCATCCATGGAATATAGAAGAATTTTTTTCCCCCAGGCTTTTGGACAGAGTTGGCTTTTGAAGGCTCATTGGGGTTTGGGGAGCGCCCCAAAAATAACAGGTAGGGCAAAGACGTTTCCTTTCAGTTGTATTTACATTGATTTAAAATTAATAAATTAATTTATTAATAAATTAATCATCTTCTGGGAGGAGGCTACCTGGTATCCGAAGCAGAACATCCAGATTCAGTCACAGCTTTGTTCCAGACAGTATCAACCTTGTGAAGCTTCCTCCTTCGGTTATGTATTCAAGATGGACAGAGATGAATATTTATAAGTTACTTATATGTAAGGGTGTAGGTCTATACATATGTTGTATATAGTATGTTTAAATGTGTGTTATGTACGTGTACACTTTGAGAGCAAGCAACTGAATTCATTTTTAATGTGTGCCATTGTTCCCACAGTAAAAAAAAATGACAATAAAGGTTATCTAATCTAACCTGAACTTAAAATTATCCTTTGCCATAATATTTGATAGTTTTTCCTTCATGCCAACTTAATAATTACGACTGAATGAAACTTTGGGAGGCTGCTGGGGATGATACGGTGTGTGTGTGTGTGAGTGTGTGTGTGTGTGTGTGTGTATGTCACAGAGCTATAAGTCTGCACACAAATATTATACAAGTAATCTTTGACTTAACGACCACATTTGAGACTGGAATTCCCATGGTAACTTGTTGAGGTTGTAAGTTGACTTCGACTCAATTTTACAACAGTTTTTGGGGTGGTTCTTCAATGGGCCTTTTTTGTTAGAAATCACCAAGTGCCTGAATAGTGATCACATGACCGTGGCACAATGGTTGTAAGTGTGAGTACAGGTTGTCTGCCACTTTTTCTGATGCTGTCGTAACTTTGACCTGTCATTGAATGAATGGTCGTAAGTTGAGGACTATCTGTAGAGCAGGTATCTTAATTAAGTATTCTTAACATGATAAGGGTACCTTTCTAGGTAAAGTTAGGCAGGCACAAAGGAATGTCCTGCTGCGCTCAAAGAAATCTTGTGGGTTTTTTTTTTACTTTCAAATGGGAAATGTGCAATGTTCTATTACAGTGGTGGCGAACCTATGGCATGCGTGCTAGAGGCGGCAGTCACAGCCCTCTCTGTGGGCACATGCGCCATCACCCCAGCCCCCTCTTCACCAGCAGCCCCCCTGGAGGAGAATCACCCCCAAGCAGCCAAAGACATGGCAGCCGGGCAGTGGGAACAAGACACTGCACTCATGCCCTGTCATGCGCAGATGATGCTGCGGGGCACGGGTGGAGGGCGTGGCTGCCATGGTGCTGCTGGGCTGCCTGGGCAATCTGCCGCGGGCTGTGGAAGTGGTGGGTGGCCCTGTGGGCAGGTGGTGGCGGGGGCGATTTTGGGGCACTCAGTCTCTAAAAAATACGCCATCACTGTTCTGTTATGTGTGTGATTGACGTACCAGCAGCTGCCCTCAAAAGGAAAAAGGGGGTGAGAAAAAGGGATAAAATAAACTTGTATAGGTAGTCCTCAACTTACAGCCACAATTGAGCCCGAAATCTCTGTGGTTAAGTGAAACCTTCGTTAAGTGAGGTTTGCCCCATTTTATGACCTTCCTTGCCACAGTTGCTAAGTGAATCACTGCAGTTGTTAAGTTGGTAGCCCCGTTGTTAAACGAATTTGGCCCTTCCTTGTCAGAAGGCCGCAAAAGGAGATCACATAACCCCAGAACCTTGCAATGATCATAAATACGAGTCAGTTACCAAGCATCTGAATTTTGATCACATGACCGTGGGGACAATGCAATGGTTGTAAGTGTGAAAAACGGTTATAAGTCATTTTTTTCAATGCCACTGTAGCCTTGAATGGTCACTAAATGAACTGTTGTAAGTTGAGGACTACCTATAATAGCAACTAGATTTTCAGGCACGGTGTGTGCAAGATGCCAGCATCGCATCTCTTTTACACGTAACATTCCTTCCCTTCCAGCCCAAAAAAGAAAGGGAGAGGGGAAGGCTTAAAACCCGGTTTCTGTCTTTTTGTATTTGTCATTACAAATAAGTACAATGCAAAAGGTGCATTTGACAGGCACCGAACTGATTGGCAACAAAGAGGCCGTTTCAGTAGAAATTGTACCCCTGTCTCTCCACAGCCTTGTTTCTGATTTAAAGCAGCCACAGGAGGCTGCCAGTTTGGCTGCAGAAGTGGGAAGCAGAAAGGCTATTTTCCCTCAGAAAAATTTGTTGGCCCCACAAGAAAATCCGGAATCCCTTTCACGACCAGGCACAGCTTTGGGAAGGGTGACTTAGAGCGGGGGGGGGGGGGGGAAGGGTGATGCACTTGGCAGCAGAGAGAAGATTTGATTCCTCTGCTCTCAGCACTGTTGCTGTGATAAGATCTGGAGTCCTCCGGAGCTGCAGTAACCGAAAAATTCTACTACAAAAAGAAGATGTGATTATAGATGACCCCTGAAATGTGTCACATGACTTATAAGTGCCCCTTTGTATTATGCAGTTAACTGATCTTGCTTGCAGAAAAGTACATTATTTATAAGAGAGAGACAGAGACAGAGTCGGAGACAGAGACATATTTGCGATTTTTAAGACTTACCTGTTTTCCATTTATGAAGTCTTCCTTATATTTTTATTCTGTGCTATCTCAGAAATTGGCTATGCTATGGTCCTTTAGTTCCACATTTTTTTCCATTACGTTCCATTTCATTCCTTTCCTTCTCTTTTTTTCTGTTAGATTTCGGATCATTTGCAGACAATCCTAAATGTGATGTTTATAAGGATAATAATTTCATCAGGAAGAACTTAAATGTGAAAGTTATCAGCCGTTCAGTAGAATGCATTCATTTAATACAATCAAATATATCCATTTAATACATTCAAACATTGGTTGGTTCATTTTTATCCATTCAGCAAAGATTACTGGATATAAAATTTTCAAGTTTGTTTGAAAACATATTCCATTCAAATGGAATCTTATAATTAATTCAGTCAAACTAGTCAATTTAGGCTTGGGTTATAAAAAATAAACATTCTGTTTTGCTTCAGTAAATATTAATGCAAATATACTTCTTCCAACTAGCTAATGTTTTAAACATTTAAATGTATTAGCTATTAACATTTCTGGAGTATGTATATAGTAGAAACAAAATGCATATAACCTTATTTAATTACATTATCCGAGACCTGGACCTGGGGAGTAAACAATTGTGCTTTTCTTGTGTTTAATAAGCCAGGTAAAATAGAAATTGCCTGTATTATCATAATATGGCTGTCTCTTTTTTGATATTGTTTTTCATTAGATCAATTTTCCAGCACATTTGCTACCATATAGACAT